TAAAAGCTCTGAATGTATGTGTTTGGACTTAATATTGTTGCATTTGTTCCTGTGATAATGTTCAGCTTGGTGTCTTTCTGTAGTAGGAGAATATAATGCAGTTTTTTTGAGAGAATGCAATTATTTCTGATAGTTTGTATAAATAGGTTCCCCCTATGGTCTGTTCTACCCTATGCTTTTGGTTCCAGATGTGCATCCTCCCCACCCGTTTTTGGTGTGTAACTTTCAAGATTTATGCTTTACATTGTTAAGTTAATTGTGCTGAATACTTTTTTTCCTTTTTCTTTCCTTACTTCTAACATACTGATTTTACTTCACTAGGTTTAATGACTATGAAGATATGCTGGAAGATACATGGCATATGGAATTCCAGAAGAAGTGAGATGTCAATGGTTTGTATTCCAGCATTAATGGTGGGTTCCAATGTGGGACACGCTACTCATTTTTTCAATCTAAACCAAAGAAAGAAGATTGCATTGGCCTTGCAGAAGCTATCACAAGAGCTTCTTTCAACAGGTAGATTGCTTTCAAAAGTGATATGCTCTCATAGGGGAAGATTACATCAGAAGTTATCTGTTTGGTTCTCTATTGACAGGGCGTATAGGCCTCCAAAGAAATTATTTTGTAGCATAAACTGGTTAGTTTTCGGAGTTTTGTGTAAATTGCGCAGAGTACTACTTTACATATACTATTTTGGCATAGAATTAATGATACTGTTATTTGTTTTAGTTTGGTGGTGTTGCTTTGACAGCGGTCTCATTTCTGCTGCAGAAGAGAGGTTTGTTTAACTCTTGCTTATGTAGTATTAAAGAAAGTACTAACTTATATAATCTATTATTGATGCTTTATACATTACACAATTTGAAGAGATTCGTAATTTAAGTCTGAACAAGCAGAAACACATTACAAAAGCTCTCATCTTAAAAGTTAACCAGAAACGACAGCTACTTAGTGGTTTCATCTGAGGGAATATACGAAAAGCTAACCGAGAGCATTCCAAAGGTTATGAAATGTTGAAGCTATTCCCTTCTTGCGATTATCCATCAGCCGAATGCATAGTAAAGACTGCCTTTGAAGAGGCAGCATGGATAACTTGTCGACCATTGTGGTTCCATTGAATCAGCTGGTCTTCTGTATAAGAACCTGCAAAATAGAAGCAGCAATGACGAAGCATTCAGTCTTTAGCTTTGCATTGCTTAGGATATTGTACAGTAATGACAATATACTAATTGGTTGAATTGGATTTTATTTTATTTTTATTATCAATCGACACGAATGAGCTACAAAATTACGAATATTACGCGAAGTATGTTAAACTGGACAAGTCACGAGTACATCATCATTATTCTACACTCAAATGTATTGACAAAAAAAAATTCTTTTCCTTTCCCTTGAACAAATCCTAGGTCCCAAACATAGCATGGTAGTATTCTACCACAATGTAGCGATTATAAAAAATATAAAAAAAAAAAAACACTCCAAAACCTCAATATACATGAAAACTCTAAAACTCTTAACTTTCAAAAGTTATCAATCCTATCTCAAATGAGTTTCAGAGCAAATGAAAAACATGCTCTGTTTGTCAAAGTAGAAACTTGAAGAATATCGATCTGATGCAGATGCGCTTTTGAAAGGCTAAAATGGCTGATTTTCCAAAATCACAAATTCTGTCCAGCGGGTTTCTTGGGAAAACCAATAAAATTCAGTGGAATTACAACAGCTGACAAGTTGTCCCTACTGCCTTTCTTGAACGCTTTGTTGACAATGCGGTCAGCCAATGAGGAAGAGGATGAACATGAACATGAGCTTTTGGACATTTCATCTACTTGGACATTTGCATCCATAAAAAGATCACAAACTTTCTGTGGTTTCAAACTCTTGAAGATGCCATCAGATGCAACAACCAAATAGCAATCATTGGCAGTTAAATGCCGCCACTATCACTTCAGGCACGGGACTAACACCATATCTGACAGTTAAAAACAAAATAAACTGTGAAAAAACGTCTCATCCCTAGTTATATCAGCCATGTAATAATGATCAGTGCAAAGTTCACACGTTTGACAGAGAATGATAATATCAGAGATCGGCAATGGGCTCACCAAAACTATTTGAAAATTACATATTC